TCTGGTCTCGTCGTTGTCGTCACCTACATCGGAGATAATGGCACTCCTTTATTCGTTAACAGTGAAAACCAAAGGAGGACCGACATCGCCGACATAGGTCAACAAAACATTGTCCAGCGCGCAGCAACATTTTTTTCCGTCACAGATAGAGCAAGCGTGACACTAATATTATTGTTATACTTGTAATCTACTGTAGAATAAACGAAATGTGGCACCCTGCTGTTGCCCTGCAGAGTTCTGGCTGGCACGAAGTGCTGTTAGTTGGTTACTTCTGCTGATTTATATTACAATAAAACCTGTCTTTTACATACACCGGTAAATACATACACCTGAAAATTACATACGTGGAAACCGGCGCATCCCATAGACTGTAATATAGCTCTGTGTAATACATACACCTGGATAACACATACGGTTTTGCTTTAACCGAAGGTGTATTTAGAAACCAGGTTTCACTGTATCGACATCGCTGCCAACCGGCTCGCAATTACATGCTCCGCGCGGAAAATTCCAAGAAGACAATCAACTGGTCTTTGCTCCCGATAGTGAAAGCAGATTCGTTGAATTTATTGATAATGGTTTGCAGGTTCGTGTGCCGTACCAGCCGGTATCACACAACACGTTAAATTGCATAATGCTTTCCGATGACCTCTTTAGTATTTGATTTTATCGTGGTAAAATTCTCAGTTTATTAGCACGCTCACGTGAAAAGCCCTGTACAGATACCACCCGTACGACTGGCGACTGAGAAATCTTCGTTATCCTACTATTGAAAAGAAAATTTTCCAGTCGACAAATTTCTGGACTGTTGGACACACAACTCACACCAAAGGGTTGTGTGTCCAACAGTGTCGGCGACAAATTCCTCGATTTGTCGCCGACCTCCGCCGGTAAAAAAATTCGCAGTGTACTTACTCCCTTCTGCGAATTTTATTGACGTCCGAGTTACGGGGGAGCCATGCCCCCTCGAGCCCCCTAAATTCGCTACTGGGCCAGCAAACCCTTAGTGCAAAGGATTGATTACTTGACCATCGGTGATAAATTGGAACGAAGCGCGCAATCCCCACAATTTCCAACTGCCATCGATGATCGTTGGCAGAATATTACATTACACCGGTTATCAACACTCGCACTATTTTGACTGCCCATTCGGCAAGTAAAGCCGTTTAAAAAAGAGAGCAGGAAACGCTCCGGAGTGTTACCATCAGGATTCACCTGTATTCCTGTAAAATCAATTGTCTATCTTTATTTATGAATTAATAAAAACTCCATGCTGGAAATTAGAAATGGAAAAAATTCAAGGACTTCCGGCGCTTAAGGCAATCGCAATCCGCCGGTGTGGCAGCGCAATGCAGCTTTCTTCTTGAAAATTTCTGAAAATTGCAATTTTTTTCCATTTAATGGCTAAGAAACAGTGGAAAAATGGATTTTATTTTCGCTGTCAAATGTATCGAATTGGATGTCTTTTTAATTAAGACGCAAAGGAGAAATCTTTGAAAATAACGGTGTATCAGTAGCTGTCCATATTCCTGGTATTTTCTATGTACTGTAATTTGTAACCGAAACAATATATATTCGACAATTAAATCTGAAAAATTTCTTGTTAATAATTCCAGTGTTATTTCATAATTATGATTTTGTTTCAACAGCATTGTATTGTGCCCTAGTTAGATGCCGGGTGCAGCGATCCCGGCTGTTATGCCAATAAAAGGAAATACATAGGACAATTAATTTCTTAATTATTTAAGGAAATTTAAATATTAAGAAAATTTAAATTTGCCCATGATACATACGCCTGTGTAAAATCAGCAATATCTGCCGGATATTTCGTCCAACGTATTTGTCAGAATTAGAAAAACTGGCAAGAAACCTAATGGCGGGCAGGGGCGGTACAAAAAGTAGGAGTATTGTATAACCCAAACTTTATAAAAAAAGCTTTTATTAAATTTCGGCACGCGCGCAACAACCAGCAGAAGCAAGACGCTGCATATACGGTACGTAGCATGATTAGCATCCAACACCTGACGCACGCCGTTTCCGGAATCCGGTTCCGATGCAGCCGCTTGATAGTCTCCACCATAGCTCCAAGAAAATTATTGGTGATGGCGCAGAAGAAGCAGATCCCGTGTTGTATCAATAGTATCAGTGTCCGCGCAGTCGGCACCATCGTTGGTCGTTATGTTCAGATACGCCTTCGGACATTTTGTATGCTTTGCATAATAAATGGCCGAAAGCGAATATAAACAAGAACGGATCTCACGGAACTGTTTGTCAGGTGCAATTCGTCTACACGGGGCGATAATAGCGATTGATAGTATATAAGCGTACTCGCTCTGCAGCCTGTACACGGGAAGATTCCGGAATGTAGCCACTAAATGTACGGCAAGGTTTTATATACCCATACGAGTTGTGCATCTACCGTTTGCAGGTTATATGGTAGGTTGCAGGTTGCGTTTAGTTGTACAGTATCTTCAGTACAACCGCATTGCGCTGCATAGAAAAAGTGGTCCAGGAAATGGTCCGAGGGCACCGAACCGTTTTACGGTTTTCGATATTTCTAGTACAACACATGATATGGCGTGCATAGCGTGTCAGAAGTGGGGGAAACAGAAGTCCATATTCCATACTGCGTCGGAACGCGGCCTTGCTCGTCCTTGTCTGTCGTGCCATAAGATGGAGAGAATCATTATAAGTGGATCGAAGATATCTTTGAATGTGCGAAAGTAAGGATGGACGTGGAGTTCACGCGCAACCTTTTCCGGCGCACATCCACCGAAATCCTCAATGTCCAAGATATTTCTGTTCAAAGACATCAAAGTTGTGAGAAATAACAATAATTTGCCGCTATCATTTGCCCCTGATACCGGCATTTTTGGTTTGTATATTGCCAGTTGTGTACGAGTACAGTAACTGGACATCGGAAATGCGCTGCATATGTGATTGCACTTATAGATCCGCCAATAATACCGGTGATGGCTGGCAGTTTTGCCGAAATGACCTATTTTTTATTTACTATATTTTTATAGTTACAATTGGATTAATTTATCGGATATTGGATGTAATGTATTATTTGAAAGCGTATGGATTTGAGTATTAATTCATTTCCATTTTTGCGGAGAAACATTATTCCTCTTTTCCGGTTATTTTTAATGTTTTACGGTGTCATTTTAAAGCCTCGTTTTGAACAACCGAATTAGCTCAATTTGAACTTTTGAATAACCACTCAAAGCTGGATATCCTAGTAATCATGTTCCATCGAAAAAAAACGGGAGATCATGCTCGAGGTATCTGCAATACGAGTATAGGCAGAGGCAGCGAATACCGTTTTCTCAACGACAAATGTCCGCACCATAATTGAGAATTTTGGCATGGATGCCAACAGTGTACTTACGTTGTCCACACCGTAATTGACTTCAGGCGCTGACACGTCGACATAGGTGGCTTGGGAATGGGCTCCGGCATTACCGGGTTTGGTGGGGACATCCGATGTAAATAGAGCCGCCATGTCCACTACGCATTCGGCGTCTTTTCATGCTGTGCAGAAAAACTGGCCGAAGGCGTAGTGGAAACAAAAAGCGGACTTCAGTGTAAACGTTCTCCCGGCGAAACCCGCATGGACGTCCTCGGCACCATGAGTACCATCTAGTAATCCAGGAAAAATCACAGCGTAACGGTCCAGCTTGAGAATGAAGCTCACCGGGGTGGTGAAGCAACTGCTTATGAAACCGGAGAAATTCGATATCCGTGCGCTGATTAGAAGGATAATTTCAAGATCTTGACAGCTGATAAAGTTACCATTTAACGCAGTCTCTATAGGTGGTTGTACAGCTAGGCGTCGGACAGCCTTCCTCATGAACTACACAAAGCGTTGCCGGAAAACAGGTTCATGGCCACGAACCTTGCACAGAAAACCAAAGTGCAACAGGCTGGCTGGTTCAACAGGCTGGCTGGCTGGTTCTGTGACCACCGGCGTTACCATTTAGCTAAGCGCAATCCTCGCAGTGGCCTATTTGCCACTCTTGGTAAATTATTAAATTAAACCAGCAGTTAACTGCATAATACCGCCTTGAATTAAGAAATTAATAATCAGCTGCCTTTAGTTGCTCGATATCTGTATTACTGACCCCTTGTCACCACACTCAGCTGCTAACCAGGACGCATACACCCGGTGTGAGAGTGCCGTACTAACCGGTACCCAAAAAGCTTGTCATGTCCAGAATATGTTTTCCGTTGGCTAGTTTATGAAAACATAGTACGCGTACATGGAAACTCGCATCATTAAGTACTTGTTCACAAGGCAATCAATGTGTATGCCACGCCAGCCCGAAAGCAGGATCATGGCCACGAACCTTGCACACCGAACTCAGAGTGCAAATGGTCAATAATGTGCCCATCGGTGTAACGAAGCCCATAATCCCCCCAGGTCACAATTACCAACTGCCATCGTTGGCAGACTATTATAATTACATTAAAGTGATTACACTGATAACGGATACAGTGTCCTAAATAAAACAAGTACACTTGTGGCTAATTTTACTGAAATACACGAGCTGTGAACTCTTTGAGATGTCAGAGCTCCGCCGTACAGTAACTAAAACACCCAATTGTAAATTTTCGAAAAATTCGTGCAACGGACTGATACATCAGCCCATTCGTATAATTATCACGCGGAGATGTATTGTGTTGTTAATTAAAAATAACTCTTGCAATTTACTCGAGAAACAAAAAAAAAATAAAAAAGTTATACTTTCGCCAACAGTATTACAGGCTGTGTAGTCCAACCTTTCTTTGTTTTCATCCTACCGTTCAATCAGGCAACTGAATCTATTATCTCGTCAGCTCATCGAGCTTTACAGCTTACCCTGCGGCATTACGCTGCTCATCGACATGAGATCACCGCTACGGTTCCTTAAAGCAAAAACTGATGAGCAATAGTTAGCTGACTGCACCAGCCGGTTCGCCGTCGTAATAACAATATGGAATTGTGAGTATCTGTACTGTGGAGAGTGAGTGCTGACTGTGCTGTATATTGGAATCACTTGTAACTTGTGTAGAACGCAGACAATTTTTTTGCATTTTGTTTATGGGTAGCTCTGATACCATATTACGATCAATTTTTACGCTGTTTCTTATTCCATTGTCCAAACAATTTTCAGGCTGCATCGGCACGACAATTTGTCCGCAAAACGTTAGTAAGCATCAGGTTTCCTTTGCCGGGAAATTACATATTTACACCCCTTTGTACTGCTTTCTAGACGCTTCAGTGTTTTGCGTCCTATTGGTCTATCAGCGCTATTCCGTTCCAGTACTGCTACCAGTTCCTTCTTTGACAGAAAGCAGGTTTGTTCCAGAGTTTTAGTTTTCACCACTGTTACATTTCAACGCTCCAGACTAGAACAGCGTCTGCCTTCTTGAAAGTCGAATTTTCACCGCTTGAAAATACCTGTAATATTACGCAGTCGTATTCAGTGAGCAGCGAAAAAACTTTATGCTGTGTTGTTGTCAACGTATGGTTTCTAAACTGTGGCTGCGTGAAATGCTGTTACAAGCTTGTCTGAATTATTTTAGAGACACGAAGTCTTAAAAGGGCAGATTCGAGCCATTTCAAGCTCTGCGGCCCGCTACGCCACCGTATCATTATTGGAACCTCACGAGTCACGGTAGAGGAGAGGACGCATAGAAGGCAGAAGCCAGAAGGTGTGCACCGGTGCATATTATAAGGCAATATTGTCTCTTGAAAAATCAGCGCATGCTTTGTAGAAACCCACCCGAAAATATATTACGTAAATGTACTCGTACCGATAGTGTGAAGTTGACAATGAGGCCGACGACCGCTACATTACATTTTGCAGAAGGACAAATTAACTGAATAATAAGTACTTACATGTTTACATTGTACTACAAATTTATTTTACACCTGATGTTCGAATGCACTAAATATTACAGTTTTATGCTACAGTACTTCATTTTATTCTGTAGATATCAGACTCAGTATTTGGCTGAACCAGCCATGCCAATGTACGTAACGCATAAATAGTGTGGCGTGGCGCTCCGTAGTTTGCCATTCACTTAACCTGCGGATTTATGGTTTTTGCAGACCTGTGGTTAACTACATAAAAAAATTTTAGTTATGATAAATTTTCTAATACAGAGCATATAAAATCTTTCAAAATAACAGTACAAAAAGGTAGTCAAATGGAAATTCAACAGTTAACAATTTTAACCTTGCCGGGAACGTGAACGGGTCGGGATAGATCGATGTCGGTCGAGAGCTTACTGGAAGGGTCGATTTCCCTGTCGGGACAACACTAGTTAACATTATTTTTAAGAACAAATATCCCTTGGTGTTCTCCTCGCCGATTTAACCAGCGGCACTTTGCATCTATTAAGATGCTGTTTACTGTAGGAGACCTTGAAGGTTAACATAGGACACCAGCAGGCAACCAAGTTTATAGCTGTTTTCATGCACGATTTTTTGTCTGTTACGATCCTACTTCAGGCCAGTTTATGGCTTATGCGCACCTCGCTCTTAAGCGCAAGATCGCATTAACTATTCCGTCGCGTTTTCGGGCTTGGGTTGACCTCTAGTGGACGCACTGAATGAAACGAATAATGACAGTTGCATAATTTGTGATCACAGAACTGAATACAGAATCACTAAGAAAAAATTGACATGACTTTGTTTTCAGATCTCTTAAACGGACTGAACTACACAAACCTTCGCGCAATGTCAAACGCTTCCGGAATGACCAAAAGTGATATCACGTTGCTGCTGGATCGATGTTGTCCTGGCTGGGACAATTGGGAGTGGAACGAGCCATGCACGGCTCCACTTTCCAAGGCACTCCTGGAAGAGAAGGAGGCGAGGCGCAATGTGCAGATGTCCCTTTGCATGGAGCTGCGGCGTTATTTTCACAAGAAGAAGCAAAAAGCGATGATATTTTATGGCCGCTGGGAAAATAGCTCGCAATGGGTGATTGTGCACAAAGAAGCTGGCATCGTGCGCCTGAAAGATTTCTCCATTGATACTTTGCCCGGAAAACGTGACTCTTTTTATCAAAACATGCCACAAAGCGGGAAAGCGGTCTTGGACAAATGGTACGAAGTGGCTGATTTTTTTTTCCTGCATACGGACGCGCAAACAAATATTGTCAGGCTCGCTGGCTTCGAATATTTTGAGCTCTGGAAGAACCGTGCTCAGTCTGCGTCTTTTGATAAGGCGAACTTCATAGAAGCGATCTTGGAAATATATGCTGCTCTCCGCCCAACCGGATACGTTCTTGTGGACGTTTCTAATCCTAATGACTGTCTGCAGAATCCTCCATCAGAGACTATGAGTACGCCTCCCAGAGATGAGCGGAAAGTGACTGAAAAGAAACCACCTCCGCGGCTCCAGAAAGGCTCTGAAGCAGAAAAAAAGCTGCAAACGGAAAAAATGGACGAACTTTTCCCGAACTGGAGTGATCCAGCAGAGTTTACTTGCTACACATATCCACCGGTGTACGAGCCGACATATCAAGGACCGACCGAGAAGCGTTTGCAGCTATATGTACATCGTCACAAGACGCTTATGGAAAAGCTTGATGTAGAAATTTCAGCGATGGTCGATGAAAAACATCAAAGCTCAGAGATAATACAAGCTCGCAAAACGAAAAAAGAGCGGGAGATAGCAGATGCAAAAGATCGGAATTATGGACTGAAGAAAGCAGTAGATAACGCGAAAGGATCGGCAGCCGAATCTCTTGTATTAATGGGACTAAAGCGGGCATTTGCTCGCCATAAAGAAAAAGCGTTTATTCTCACGAGTTGGGATTTTCCCACAGGTAGCGATGGTGCGGAATTCAGTGAAAGGTACAAGCAAGTTCGTGCACAGCAATCAGCCATAACCAGTGTGCCGCTTCCTGATCCGGCTAGCTCATCGAGTGCAGAAAACGTGGTGGCTTTTGGAAGCCCAAATTTTTCGACCCTTGATAGCAAAAAGCCAGATGGTGCAAAGACTAGATCTTCCCTTCCGGATGTGGACGTCCTTGTTATTCACAAACATGGATTGACAGTTTTCGAAGTGAAATCCGCGGAAACCGTTGAAAGCCGCCGCAAAGCTACCGAGCAGCTTGATACCATACTCTGCGCCTTCAAAGCATACGGTATTGACACGCAATACATCAAGTCTTTTATATTCTATCAGTCAAGCGACGCTGCCATCCGCGAAACATCGTTGCCTCACAATCAAGTGGACAAAACATGGTTGGAGAAGCTGTCAACTCCCACACCTACGAACCAAATTTGTCCTCTGGTCGATTTGTGGCCGGCGTCGGAAGAACCAGCTTTCACCTTTGATAATTACAAACAGGCAGTGGAGAAGATAGTGATGCCGAAAATTTTAGATTATTCTATCCTAAATGGATATGACAAGTTGGAGCTAGCTTTGCTACCTAAACTGGCATTACCGCCTCCACCGGATATTTTCCCAAAAGTTAATCAAATGCAGCAAATCAAGCGAAAACCTCGCGGATTAAGACCAGTTTTTTTCTTAAACTGCGAGCAACAAGACATATGGAACGGTGGCAGTGAACGTTTTATGTACGGTGAAGCAGGAACCGGGAAAACCATTTTGCTGCAGTACAAATGCTTAGAATTATTGAAATCATCCAGCAAGGATAAGGCGATCATTTTGGCACCGCCGAAGTTAGCAACTCAATACGAGGATTTTTTACTGCGTACGCATGAAATTGAGTCAGACCGCTTACGGATTGTGCATGTGTCTAAGGATGATCCTTTCCTGTCCAGAGCACGTCAAATTATCAGTGCATTTTTGCCATGCCATGTGTTCATTGATGAAGGACATTTGTGCTTTTTTGGAATGGCACAAGAGCTGTATCTGATGTGGAAATACAAGCGTGATAATCATAAAGCCAGTCTTCCGCTGTCCCGTGAGCTGCACTTTTGGGCAGCTGCACTGCCGGATAGCTTTACTGGTGACCTTTTGGACACACTGCCGTGCACAGAGCTAAAAGTATCCCTGCGGTCTGCTCGAAATCTTCAGCTGCGTCCCGCTAGCGACAGCAATCTGCTGTTTGACCTGAACGTTTACGGTGAATTGATTGATGGTGAGTACATAGTCATACCACCGGGGAAGCATGACGTGACAGAACAACTGCATAAAATGGTGATCAAGTCAGCAAAGCGGTTCAAAAGTCTGGGAATTCAGGAAAACAGCATTGCTGTCATCTCCTCCGCAGCGGTTGAATATACAAGCAATCTGGAAACAGGACTCAAAAGGGAAATGCGGCAGCTTCAATGTTACACCGGTAACTACGATTCGGCTACGCCCTTCTCAGATCCCCATGCCCTTAACAACACCCACGATATACATTCTTTGGAATTTCAAGCAGCCATCACCATATGTGACCCCGACAACAGAAACATGGACTTATCCAAGTTTGATGCCGCAGAGCATGCCAGAAGCCGGGGAGTGATCGGTTTGTCCATTATACGGTGCTTGCCTGTTTACCGGGATGCAAAGGCTGACGGGTTGGTATTTACGAAAACGGGTCAGCGAGCGGATTTGCTAATTTACGAATCCGCCGGAAAAGTGATGCACGGTTGGCATTTTGCTGGCAGATACATTCGTGCGTCCAACCCGTGCCTCCTGCTAGCAGAAGCCTTCAAGCGCTCGGCTGACGATTTGCTTAAAAAATTGGAAACACTAAATCAGAAGCAGAAAAGGTTCCGCATTATCCGCTACGCACGAAGTGTCCCAGGTCAGATCAACCAAGAGAAAAATCCAGGTGCCCAGTATGTCTTTGTTTTCCCACACGCCACAACGCTGTCTCGGCACGATCTGGATACTCTGTTCACACCCGGCATTATGGTTCGTTTGATGTGTGTAGTGTTTAACGCTAGCGGGAAGCGAGAAGTTGTTCATCCATATACTGGAAGTGTTCCGGACTACGATGATGAATTTTAGTTTTTGGACTATGTTACCAGCTACACAACCCCATGTGAGCTATTTTAAAATTTAAGATACAGCTTGGTGTAAACAATACTTACTGGCCAACAGGAGAACTGAGAGACCATCATTAGTTTTACAATTGGGCATAAGTTGATAACTGAATCGACAGACTTCCAGTCTTCTTTGCATCTCTAGTTTTGCCGTTTTAATGTTTGCATTGAGTGATCATCTAAGGTTTTGGAAATTCCTAGCAGTTTCTTAATGTGGATGTGTATCCAAATGTGCTGTATAGCGCCAAGTTTACACATGCCAGATGGTCAACCCTGGTATAGTCCAGTGGAAGTCATGTAGCACTTTGATTGTGTTTCGTAAATTAAGTACCGTCGCCATTGGATAAGAATCGGATCTCGTTAAATTGTCTTTTACATATCAATAATTTAATAATAAAACCATTCAAATAGATACGAGAGCACCAAACTAAAATAATTGAGTTTTTTTCTTAAAACATCTTATACGAGTAAATTATGGACGGTACAAAACTATGGACAGAAACTGATATTGGTTATCACGATCTATTTACCATGTGCAGGATGTTGTTGAAATTACATATTAATCTATCATGCAAATTGTATCCGACAACCTGCCGTTCTATCGGCCGAAATGTCATCATTCGGGTCGAAGGTATTTTGCAATTTCTGATAGGCATTTGGCGGCTTTTGGCCACACTGACTACAACCAATTGTTTTCACATTAATACCTCATCAATGCGAAGTTTTTAGGAAAAAAATAATTGGTTTGAAAGTTAAAAAGATAACGACGATAAACATCTAAGCACATCTACGCAGAACCTAAATACATTTTCATTACAAAAATTTGAAAAAATATGAAACAGATCAAAAAAAAACTTGAACCGGTTTCGATGACCGGTTTAAGAAACAGGAGTGAACTGTGAAATATGAGAAAATTTAAAGTGTCCTCAGAAATCGATGGCTCTGTCAAACAGTGGCCAAATTTAAACAGTTACTGCATATTTGTCCGATACGTCCATCTGGCCTCGTTGCTGTCGTCACACATCGGAGACGTTGGGGCCCCGTTGGTAGACAGTGCAAACCAATAGGGGACCCGGCATCTCCGACATAGGGTCAACACTGCATCATATCCCAGCGCTTGTTGCAGCAGGATTCTGTTTTGCTATGGTTAGAGCAAGCGCAGTAAATATTTTACACATAATATACTGCAGAACACGAAATGCGGCGTACTGATGTTGCTGAACCGAGAAGTACAGATACTCTGCCTGGCGGTTTAATGACTACAAAGTAGTTCTGCTGAATTACGATATACTAATGGCAACTCAGACAACCGGCAAGCGAATGAAAGCATGGAACAAAAAATCGCCAGAAGACAATCAACTGATCTTGGCGCCCGATAGGAAACGAAGGCTCGTTGAATGTATTGACGGGGGAAAGCTTTCAACTTGTCGCGCGATTCACTGCCCACACATAGTATCATTAGATTCCTCGGAATTCAGGGAATTTGTTGTCGCGCAAAAGGTTTCTCCCAAGCAGTAAACTGAAGCTGCAAAACTTCGAAGAACCCTACATTGTAAAGATGGCTGAAAGCAATCTTGACGTCAGCTTGCGATGGTCGAAATCCAACAATGCGGCGTTGCGTCTGTACAGCTGTTTCGTACGTATGGAGGCGTGATGACTCGCTCAAAAATTCACAGCTCACTAGATCTCGCTGGCAATAAGCGGTGTAACGGTGAGCGGAGAACACAGATGCGATTTAACAGGCGCGCTTACAGTCATGCAACGTAAGATTATGCGTAGAGTTGATGAGCGTCGCAAGCTGACGTCTCACATCAATCAGCCATCTTAACTTTGCTGGGTTCTTCGAAGTTTTGTAGCTTCAGTTTACTGCTTGGGAGAAACCTTTTGCAGGATAACAAATTCCATAAATTCCAGGGAATCTAATGATACTATGTGCGGGCAGTGAATCGCGCGACAAGTTGAAAGCTTTCCCTCGTGAGTAAGGTTTGGAGGTTCGTCTGCCGTACCAGCCGGTAGCCTACAGTGGACTTCATAAATGTGGTTACGGATAGCCACCCGTATGCATAGCGCTATCGGCTTTAAGTGTAACCACATTTATGAAGTCCATTGTATTTCGGATTGCATACGGTAGAAGCTCCGTAGTCCGTACAAGCTTGTCCCGTAATTTCCATCGTAAAGATACAGCTAGCGCGAAATTTGCGCTTGAAACGATGGCCACGTCACTACGCTTATCTGATTGCCTAAATCCGCTCCATAGTTAGATTGTCCATTACCACACCGACAGCTTCTTGGCCAACTTACGCCAGGCAGTTACTGTTATTCTCAATTTCTCATTGAATTATATGGCGTCAGGCCCGTCGCGAGACCCCTGTGCAATTTTCAAGAAAAAAACCCCTCCTACAGTTTACATCGGAAAATTTTTCTGAATACACCATTGGATTCGTCGTGAAATTCTAAACAAAACGGTTGAGGCCGATTTTTGAAATTCGCATTCCCTCCCAGACCGTTGCTGCGGGCGGTCGCCAATGCGACAGCCCAATTCTTGGGGCATTCCCCCCTGGCCCCCAAGGGCAGTCAAAGACACCTTCTCGGGCCTTTTTCAGTGATACAATTAGTATTTCAAGCGCAAATGGTTTCTCTATTTCTGAGGGGTCAGGGGGGAAAGCCCCAAAACTTGGGTTGAGACATAGGCGACCGCCCGGGTGGACGTGCTTGGGGAGGAACGAATTTTGAAATTTGGCCTCAACCTTTTTGTTCAGAATTTTACCGCGAGTTGAGGAATGTTTTCAGAAAAAATATGCTATAAAAACTGTAGGAGAAGTGTATTTTTGAAAGTGCACGGGGGAATTCCCCAGAAGTCAGGCTGTCGAATTGGTGACCGCCCGTAGTAAGGGTCTAGGGGGAAATGCGAATTTCAAAAATCGGCCTCAACCGTTTTGTTCGGAATTTCACGACGAATCCAATGGTGTATTCAGAAAAATTTTCCGATGTAAACTGTAGGAGGGGTTTTTTTCTTGAAAATTGCACAGGGGTCTCGCGACGGGCCTGTATGGCGTGTACCAAGCCACCAGCCAGCCAAATGCATGTTACGTGTTTAAACCGTGTGGCGTGGCGCGCCGTAGTACGGATTTACGCGCAACACGTAAATTTGTAATGTTCGCTGTTCTGATGCGATGGAAATTACGGGACAAGCTTGTACATAGAATCGCACGGCGTCAGATAAGCAGTACGTTAGCAGGATGAAAACTGCTTCAGATCTTTGTGCTGTTACACTTTGGTCACGTACAGCAACGAAAAAATTAATCGAGTCGAGTGCGCACGAGGACGTGACCACCCTGCTAACGGTCGGCGGTCTGAATGCTCAAAAAAGGTCCACGGGCAGCATACGCTGGCCTGCCATTCACTCATGTATCTGAGCCGTTGCAAGCATCCGCGTAAGGCGGATAATTTTTACGTTCGATTCCGGGTTGTTTTACGTCCGTTCGCGACGTTAGCAGCTCTAACCTAGCGTCGTGCGGTGACGGGTTCCATATGGAACCGTAGCCGAATGGAACACAAACCGTGCAATCTGAAATAGGCTAGTATCGCAAATTTCGTCCGTGTAAACTTCGGGTGTATATGTGTTGTCAGTGGTTTGTGAACTGTGCCACGAAATACCACTATTATCGCCGCTGTTGCCATTTTGGAGAAAAAATATAAATAATGTTTTTTCAAGAAAATATAAACATTTTTCTCCCCCGAAACGTTGACGTATTTTTATTTTATTTTAACACACGGAAGAGTTTGTAGGCTAACATTACGTTTGCGCAATAAGAAATTTTTAACCCTGTGGTGGATCGGACTATCAGCATATTTACACTTATAGCAGTTTCATTGACCCGATTGTGATTTATTTAAATAGGCGGTGGCTGTTCGCCCGGGACTCTGGACGAGGAGCCATTGCGTTATTTATTTGGTTTCGTTGAGCACATTGTAATCTTTCCAATTTTTATTGCACTTTTTGGTATGCTATCCTCTGTATTTATTTAAAAATATTACATGCATATGCCAGATAAATAGCGTATCAAATACATAATTTATACTAACTCAGAAATATTCCATACCACAGGAAATCGCGGAGAAAGGCTAAGTACGCTTGCAGTTGACAGGTTCCAATCACTAATGTACAGACGATAGGCATGCGATTTATACACTACGTGGACAATCTCTCGATTGTGTAGCGGCAGGTTCGGGATAAGAAAGAGGAATACTGGGATTTGAATAATTTCGGATTTGTGTATATAAAAGGAATAATAATGGTAGGGGAAAGAATTTTGTGAGTGTTTGAAGGACATGAAAGGTTGTGGGTGTTCCTTTACTACAGTTGAGACCTTGAAAATTGCGCGTTTAGTCTGTAACTTTCCATAGGTTTACACAGTCATTTTGGTAGTAGCAATTTGTGTAGTAGTAATTTGTGTAGTTAAGAAAGTTGATTGCTTAACGGAGCGAACTATTATGTTTTGCACTGATAGTCTTGGATGTGTAGTAACAGGTGGTTTGTATATGGGATGTAGGCTGGGACGTACATTAAAAGGTTGTTCGAGAAAATGTTTGGTTTAATTGGTTTGTTGACTGGATTTTTTGAGTCCGGTGGGTATATTAGAAGCTGAGGAACGTTGTGTTTGAGTCATTATGGATTTGACGAAGTATAATGTTTTTCTTGTTGGTTATTTTCTGGTGGCCGGTTTAGCTTTTTGGAAGCGTCCTGATTTAGGTTGTTGTTTTTTGTTTGGCTTTGGTCTTTTTCGGTTGAGTATAGTTCAGTAAGTTCTCTTTCATAGATAGTTCCTTTTAAGTAGTGTTTTCTGTTAATAAAATAATGGAAACTGGTTGTGATAATGAAGTAGTGATGATGTTAGACATGAAAATGTTAAGTTAAAAAACAAAAATGTTAACTTAACAGGGTCAGCAAAACACAACAATTAGGACAAAATCGTAAAGTAATGCTTAAGAAAAGATCCGGACAACCATTACACATTACCATACTCTGTAGATGTCGTTTAGCACCATTATAATATGCTTGACTACCTCGTGTAACCTTTCCAATTTTTGGATATAAAAACTAAACAACGCTTTTATTACCTAAATCTTTCCCTTTACAAAAATCGTCATTTTTAAGAACATAATTAATCGTCCGTTCTACCTGATCCCGTTGATAAAGGTTTTGAGCTCGAAAAAGTATGAGCAATCTTTTTGAAACCTATTGTCTGCACTTAAAAGACGCAATTTAAAATATTTTTCAGGTGAAATACTATAAGGCCGATCATCAATTAAACCACCATAACCAAACGGAAATAGATTAGGATACG